AAGATTTATGATAGTGAAATTGCAGTAGCATTAAACCAGATTAAAATGAAGAACAAGCTCAAGTCTTTTTTCAGATTGTTTCATAGCTGAGATGAGGACAAGTTTGGTTTGGTATTTTGTATAGAAATAAGCACAGTAAGCATTAAACAGATCATTATCTGCTTTTTTTATTCAATACGGCATTTACACCACTTTATATCTATCTGCAGTCTGTAGTGTGCTAAGGTAAATCTTAATGCTTACTTTCAATTGATCCGTGGCTTCATTTTAGCAAGAGTTATTGTAATGGTGAGCTATGATTCTGTAGGCTGGGTGAGTTAACTGAAAGTAAACTTTATGAACAGATGAACTCAAGATACCTTCAGTAGTGGATCAAAACATACAGTGGCTTATACGTAATACTCAGAACACTGGCTTTTGATCTTGTGTATTTGGGATGTAGATTACCTAGTGGCCTCTTTTTGGTTCTGAAGTGTGCTCCTTTGCGTCCTTCTTCTGGTGGGGAGAATATAATTATGCAGGAAGAACAACCCGAGGCATGGATTATGCCATGAGAAAGAGCTTTTAAATAATATTGCCTAGATGGCTAGGGTTGGTTGCCTGTTTATATTGTCTTGAGGCCAACTTCTTTTTATCAAGAATGTGCTTAAAAGTTGCATTTGATCTACACAGAACTTTTCCTGATCTGGCTGGAGAATGGCAGTGAGACAACACAAGAGCCTATATCAGTTTATCTCCAAATTGTAGGAATGCTTGTCCCTTGTAAGAAATTTGTCAATGATATCCACTGCAGAGACTGTGCAAGAGATGCTGATTTCAGTGACTTTCAAGTAAGACTGAGAAGTGCCGGTATAGTGACCACACCTTTTGGCCAGCAGTGAAGTTTGACTGTGAACTGTCAGCTGTGAGCTGCTTTAACTTAAATGTTGTAGTTAGAGAATATAGCAGTTCATATCCTCTGTCTGTTAGATGTATATTACTCATTACTGACATAATAGTTAATATTTTTTACATAATATTTAATATTAACATAACATCGACATAATTATATTAACATAAGGATGTTAACATAATACTAGCATAATAATATTTAATATTAACATAATATTTAATAATTAGCAAAATGTGAGACCCCACTTGGAGTACTGTGTGGAGTTCTGGTGTCCTCAGTGTAAGAAGGACATGGAGCTGTTGGAGCAAGTCCAGAGGAGGGCCATGAGGATGATAAGGGAACTGGAGCACCTCCTATACAATGACAGGCTGAGCAAGCGGGCGCTGTTCAGACTGGAGAAGAGAAGGCTGCGTGGAGACCTCAGAGCAGCCTTCCAATACCAGAAGGGGGCCTACAAGGGTGCTGGAGAGGGACTCTTCATTAGGGACTGTAGCGATAGGACAAGGGGTAATGGCTTCAAACTTAATCAGAGGAAGTTCAGGTTAGATATAAGGAAAAAACTCTTTACAGTGAGGGTGGTGAGGCACTGGAATGAGTTGCCCAAAGAAGAAGTTGTGAATGCTCCATCTCTGGCAGTGTTCAAGGCCAGGTTGGACAGAGCCTTGGGTGACATGGTTTAGTGCAAGGTGTCCCTGCCTATGGCAGGGGGTTGGAACTAGATGATCTTAATGTCCTTTCCAACCCTGACTATTCTATGATTCTATTTCTTTGACAAAAAGAGGATATTTATACAATTTTAATCTTTACATTCTAGATCTTGAAAAATGGCAAAGAGGATGCATATTTCATTGGTTTACAACTCAGTGTTGACCAACGGACAAGGTAGGCCAACTAGAACTGTTAAGCTTGCATTGTGCATAAAAATAAAGAAATCTACTGAGTGGAGCAAAAATAATGAAGTGCTTGAAAAATTACACTGCAGATAATGTATTTTGAATATTCATTAATGAATTCTAGCTTCCTTTATTCTATGATTTATATTGAAAATGTAAAGAGATGCCCGAACACAAAATGTGTAAGATTTTTGGTAGGTAAAAACATTCTTATGCCCCGTCCTTAACTGTTGGGAAGAGACTGTAATAAAGGAAAAAATGCAACCTATTTTCTTTTTGTAGAACAAAGATAGTTGTTGCCATTATATAACTTCAGGTGCAGTGTGAAGATAAGCGTGTTTTCTGGAAGCCTTTTTGGATGTTAGTATCCAGCACCATATTGATTTTGACATGTGATGTTAATTTAGGCCTGGATTCAGTTCAGTCTGGGTCTTCAAGTGTCTGGATAGATGCCTAGTAGCTCTTGGTTCTCCTTATAGTCCACAGTGACAATGAGGAACCTCCAGAGGATAATTAGGATGTTAGGTGAGCCATATCACCTTCTGCAAATGAGTTGTCTCTGCTATTCCACTGGTTTTGTAAGATGAATATGCTTTTAAGTGAAGTACCTTCTGTATGTGCTTGGTGGGTGAACCTGGGCTCCTCTGTCATTTGCAGCCCAATAGGGGTATGTGTCCTAATAAGTATTTGGTTACCTGGATACAAATTTGTTCTTTTGTTTCAATCTACATGGATGTGCAACTTTTTCAGTGTTTATATGGTAAGGCACATTGTCACAGGAATTTCCTTGTAGGTGCTTTGACATGCCATTTTCCTCTGCATGATGGAAAGAGGAAAAAGATGGAAAAAGATGATGCATTTTACCAGTGTTATGAATAAAATTGCTTATCTCTGTAATAGGTGCAAAGAATGTATGACTTGGAAATGGTGAGCATCTGGGCTCTCTCATGGTGAAATGATGTCTGGCTTCCACATTGGTTATTTTGAGTATTGTCCTATCAGTTGCAAAATCATCAGCATATTGCTTAAAGGCAATGTAAACACAACTTTAACATACACACACCTATGTCTTTGTGCAGAGAGTAAGTTTAGCGCAATTAGGAAAGAGGCAAACTGGCCAAAAAACCTTGTACGCTTTAAACTATGAACTGCTATGTGCAAAATATTGCAAAATTACTTTGTGTAACATGGAAGCGATTCTATTGGTATGTTAAAGAAGTGTTTTGTTGGATTGTTTTTCTTAAGCTGGATGGATGGCACTCCAGTGAACTATTTGGCATGGGCACCACATGAACCTAACTTTGCAAATAATGACGAAAACTGTGTAGTTATGTATAAGAATTTAGGTGAGTTTTGTGTGTTTGTTCCTGAATTTCATTATTTGTGTGTTTGTGTCACAACATTTTTTGTCTTCTGAGAGGCACGTCTTTCCCCCCTTCTTTTTGCTCTTTTGTAAAATGTTACAGAAGTAGACCGCAGTATTATTTTCAGGACCTAATATTTTTGTGCTCCTGTGTTTAGCTTAAGCCTAGCATGGGGGAGCTCTGATGGAAATCTGTGGTTGTGATTGCTATACAACTGCTTTATATTTTTTCTTAAAATTAGCCTAACGTTCCACTATAACAGAGGCATTTCTAGTACCTGGTTCTACAGTGCTTTTAACATTTTGTAATTACAGTGTGTATAAGTGACATATTTATCCTAGATGCTGATATAGAATGATAATAAACTGAGAGCCTCTAAGGATTTGGTCTTACCTTTCAATGAAAAGCACTTTGTGTAAGAATGAGTGAAACTGGTTCCCATTTAACCAGTTCTGGATGTGGTGTCATGCAGTTCCCCATTTCTCTCACATTCAGGATTTTGGAATGATATAAATTGTGGTTATCCAAATCCCTACATGTGTGAAAGGCACAACAGCTCCATTAATTCAACTGTTCCTCCAACAACATTTTCAACTCCAAGAGGATGTCATCCAGCTTGGCTTTCGTTTCATAACAAGGTACCATAACAAATATAGTGCATGTTGGCAGAACATTAAACTGAAAACAAGGCAATTATTTAATAATATTGTTTCTTATTAGAGTAAAATATTATTTTTTTGTAGAGAGCTGGTTTGCTTGCCCATCCACTGTTTTGCAGGAAAGGTGCTTTTTTGTTGCTTCTAATGGAGCATATTCAGTTGCAGCAGCAAAGGCGTTCTCTAGTCATCTCTTCAAACGTTTTGATATGCATTTCCTAAAGAGTTACGACAGAGTTCCTAGAGTACTGATGCTTTGATCTTAATGTTTTTTAACCAACCATAATGCTTTTTCTGTACTGAATACATTTTGTCTTCCTTAACTTTACTAACATGGTATGCTTTGTAGAGTCAAATAAACAGGCAGACTAATATCAGTCATGCATAACTTACTACTGTTAGCTGTCTGTCTATAGAAAGTCAAGTTTTGCTTATTTTCTAGGGATTTCAGATCAAACCTAGTATGTGTCTGGTTGAGCAAAACACTTTCTTGAGCCACTTAATTTTGTACAAAATAAGGACCAGTGCAAAAATCTCATTTTAAGATGAATGTAGTTTTTTCAGATAAATGTACTCTTTTACTGCCTTTTCTCCATCCTGCTTTGCTGAAAGCAGTGGTTTTCGGTCTGTGAGGGATATTGGAGTAAAAATAATACATAGAGAATTTGTTCATGTTTTAGTGTTACAAAATATTTGGATCTACAGAAGATGAACGTGTCACTTGGCATGCTGCACGAACAGCTTGCATGAATTTAGGAGGAAACCTGGCCACTATCCCTAATGAACAAGTGCAAGGTACTGCATGTAGCTTTGTAGCAACTAGATGGGATGATATTTAATTTTTACAGGATGGCTGTTGTATTTGTGGGAATATGGACAGGGTTCGAATAATGATTGTGTGTCTTTCCAAAGACAAAATGTCTTTGGAAATGTCCTTCCTTCCTTCCAAAATGTCAAATTTTTAGAAATTTACAATGTAGTTTTCACCTGAATCTATCAAATTTTAATGTTGGCTTAGATATACAAATACATGTATATTGTCCTGGCAGCCGAAGTAGTGCTTTTTCTGCGTACATATGATACCAGCCAGACCCAGCAAGTTTCATTCCAAATGATGCAGTTTCACTAGGTGGCATTAACTTCCTGCATAGCTTTTCTGTTAACTCAGGCAGACACTAGGGTCAGAACTGGCTGTCTTTGGGGAGCTTAGGGCATGGGTTTGACTGCACGTACACATACCTACAACTCACCACTTAGATGTACCATTCTTTTCATTAGATGAGCTTATTTTAATGAACCCAAGAGCTGTGTTCATGACTATGTGAGGTGAGCAGAGGGAAATTACCTCATGCTTGAATAAACATGGCACACATTCAAATTAAAAATTGGGGAAGATTTTGATGGATGTTGATAACACCCTCATTTTAGAAGTACTGTTTTATTCTACAGTGATGAGAAACCAATGTTGCACAACACATATAGTTTGTGAACTCAGAAGAGCATAGTGAAAAATCAACCATTGTAAAACAAGTCTGTGTTGTAGTCCAAGCAATTAAATAGTTTAAATATACTTAAATTTATTTAAATCGTTTAAATTAAATGCTGACATGAACTTAAGTTTTCCACATGAAGAAACAAAGAATCAAACTTTCATTTTTGAAACAAAGTCAAGTTCTTATCCAACATCATTTCTACAGTACAGATTTCAGGTGGTTGGTTCATGCACAGGGCTTGAATTCCAGGTAAAAGAGAAATGAGCAGTAAAGCACCTTCCTGAACCATGCAAAGCTGTGGTAATTGATTTGCTTGTGATGAACAGTTCTGTTGAGACTCATTTTAAGCAATCTGCTTGTGCCTTCTGCTCCCTGCTAAGACAGTGCAGGCTATTGCCAGGTGTTGCAGGGAGAGAGGAAACACTCTCACAGTTCTGTAACAGCGCTATTTGTGCAGATGCTCAAGTGGTAGGTGCTCTGCTGTCTGATGCCATTGTGGGGTCACCACTTTTGTGGGATTATAAAAAATGTATGTGATCTACATGGCTGTGTATTTCTGAGTCAATGACTTTGTGGGATTAGTATTCAAAAATGTCCTGAGACATTATAAAAAGCACTTCTATCATGCTTTTGGGACTTATCCCAGTACTAGGTTAAGTACTTAGCTGAAGTATTTTGCCCAAAGCCACAGTTACACATCTGCTTCCCAGTTCATTAAACTCAAAAGTTACCCCCTTTTCATCTTACCTGCTTGTGTTCTCAACAATGAAGTGTTCTGTATTGCAGAAAAAAGTATTTAATATCACCAAGCTTGGTGAAGTCAGACATTTCAGTTGTCCTTCACTAAAAGTATTTCTCTTTTTCTTTGCCTTTTTTTTACTCTAGCTTTCCTCACCTTCCATATGAAAGGTTTTGTTACAGATACATGGATTGGATTAAATGACATAAATCATGAACTGAGGTTCCTCTGGACAGATGGAACAGGAGTTTACTTTACAAACTGGGCCAAAGGCTTCCCATCAGGACATATGGATTTGTACTCATATGATGGCCAGGTAAATAGCAGTCACAAATTTTTCACTGAAATTTGATTTCAGATTGCGTTTACACATCTGCTGGGATTTGAGACATGTTTCTGCTTCACTTCTTACTTTCCTACTTTTATACGTGTCAAATATAAATCCAAATAGAGTGAGTGGTTTTGAGCCATTGGGCAGTTGCTGGTGACAGGATCTGTGGAGTGCTCATACAAAGATTGGTTTCAGATTTCAGTTCTCTGTGCCTGTGAAAGCTACGCTGCTTCTGTGTTCACCCTGCATTCTCTCACAGGCTGTGGCAAAGAGGACAGTGAGATTCCTGCCTTATGGCATTTGACCCAAAAACACATTGAATGAGCACATCCTCCTAGTCATCTGACCATGGCTGTGCCTGAACTTAGCAGGTTTCTCAGTTGTATGTAGCTTGCAACGTGTGCTTTAAAAAGTTCCCTTCTGTGTCTTACACCGAAGGAAATTCTGTCAGTCACAGCTGTGGAAGTGACATGCTTCTATAAAAAGAGACCATTCAGTTTTTACAGGGAAAAAAAAATCACTTCCCCTATTTCTCTGTCATACAAACTGATCTGGTAAGTCATAGAGTTCTAGAGAGCTCTGACCTTACATATTACATTGTTCTGTGGTATGGAACTACAGCACATTATACGACTAGCTCTATTTCTCATGAATGCCATTTTTAGTGTAGAAATCTTTTTTTACTGTAAAATATCCTTTTTCCTGTTTTTGAAAGTAGTACCTCTGAGCTTCTTATCTCTAATGGAAGGAGAAAACCTGGGAGAATTCAGAGTTCAAAAGAGAAGGCATCTTTAAAATGTTGCTTGTGGGAGGAATATATATTTTTATCTTTTTATGAAAAGTAGTAGGATTTCTATGAAGTTGTCTGTGAAAATTTACAAAGTCCCTATTTATAAATTCGAGATTGATTTTTAAGTTTACTTAAAAAATAAGTAAAGGAAATAAGGAAAAAAGAAGTTATCATACTTAATACAAAATACCATGCAGCTGTTCAGTTTGAAAGATTTAAATCTTAATGCACTTCACTCACAAATGAAGTGTTTCTCTCTGCATCTCCTCCAAAATAGGTAAATAGAATAAATATGGATGCTTCATTGTGCAAAACTATTTGTTCCCATGCAGCCTTTTGCATTCATCCCTGTTTGTTTAATATGTGCCAGCATAGGTTCTAGCTATCGTGTCCATGTCAGAGAAATTGAAATGTGAGTGGTACTGACAGATCAATGGCTGCCTCTGGGCAGGATCTGTTCTAATTTTGCTGTGTGCACTATTACAGCTTGCAACAATAAATTTGAAGAGACCGATATGTCAGAATGTTGCATGGCCCATTGAAGGTCCAGGGTTTTTTCCTGGGGCAAAGTTAACTGGTCTTTTCTACAACAGTTGATATCACTTATCTTTAAATTGTCTGTGGCTTTCCTTCTCTCCATGCTGTATGCCTGGAGGTATGAGGATACCAGAATTGCTCTGGTCTGCTTATCCACCCTAAGGTTGCGCAAGAGAGCAACATTAAGAAATCTGTGAAGCGTAAGAGGAACAGAACCTCCCCATCATAAAACTTATACTCTGAAATGTTACAATGAGAGTAAAGCTACAACATACTTGTGCCTGAAGGGGGACAAAAGTTTTTTCTTTGCTTCTTCTAGCTATCTGTAACTGATCTTTTATCTTTTTGCCTCGAGGCTGATTGTGTTGTCATGAGAAACAATCCTGTTAAGGAAGCAGGGAAATGGGCTGATGAGAGTTGTGATAACAACAGAGGATATATATGCCAAATTAATGCAGGTACTTGTCTTTTCAGTTCAATCAAACCTTACATTTTTTCAAGGAATGGCTTGGATGTGTGGATTTCAGCATCAGTTCATGTTCAATAAGGATACATCCACAAATTGTTTTTCAGGCAGGAACACAAAGGTCATGTGTGTCAGAGGTCTGGTTAGAGTCACTGCTTTTAGCTGACCCTTCCCAGTAACGGCTGTGTTCCTACCTTCCTGAGCTGGCATTTGCATCTGCATCTTTGTGTTTACTATGACCCTTGACATGGTGTTTGTACTATGTTTTTGTCTGTTACTCTCTGAACACACTGGCTTTCAGTCTTTAATGCTTTGGAAAGTACTGGCTTGTAAATGTAGCATGAAATGTCTGGAGAGTGAGTGTAACTCACCCACAACAAACTTGAGCTAATACACCTCCAAAAACGAAATTAAAATGGAATGAAAACCTGGATTTAATTGTCTGATTTAAGAACTGATCTGTTGTGCAGTTTTTCTTTTCTCTGACCAAAAAAAAAACAAACAACCCAAAATACTTGGGAAACAACACAGTCTCTGCAAAACATTTCTTTTGTTGAAAAAATATTTTATTAAAGAAATTGTGACTTAATCTAATCCTAATTCATTTCAGTAATACTACCGTGGAGGTTTATACAAAATAGTCCTTTGCTCCTTGTCAGAGGTTGCTTTAAGATGCTCTTTTCCTCTCTACAGATTTGCAATTGACTTTTAGTGATGCCGGCTTAAATAATAGCATATCTAATCTATGCTGATTAAAGGTCAGGGAATGTGGAATCAAGAAAAAAGGGGTTTTGTTTAAGTCTGTTTGCAGCCACAGTGAAATCACAATCCCCTTTTGAACAACTATGTGAGTCTTTTTTTTATCCTGTATTTTACAGATGCTGAGTTTCTGCCTTCTACAAGTTCATCCCCATCCAGCATTATGCGTTATGGTAACAGTAGTTACTTGTTCATCCATACCAAAATGAATTGGGAGGATGCACAGAAAACCTGCAAACGTGATCAGTTTGACCTTTCCAGCATCTTAGACCCCTACACTCATTCATTCCTGTGGCTGAAGATGTTGAAGTATGGGGTGCCTATGTGGATTGGTCTTAACAGTAATGTGGTAAGAACATCAAACTAATTGAACATGATGCTCCTTCTTTTATGGACAAATCAGGATCTGAGAAGTCTTATTATATCTCATCACTTTAGCGTATTAGTTTATATCTTGGTCATAAATACTTTAGTGTACTGTCAGATTTATGGGTAGGAATCTGACCTCTTCAATTGATGAAATTGAATATATTATACACATTTTCACACTTTTCCTGTGATATTACACTCTGCACTTGCAAACAAGATATTTTAGTCTAGCATCTTGAACTAGCTCTTCGTATATATGGCATATTAAAGGTAAAATCCACATATTTTAAGATGTACAGTAGAAACTATTTATTCTAAATAACAAATAATTTTCAGAAACAGAATAAGGTTCTGTTGCTATGACTCTCTCACCATTTTTGAGGATAGTTAGCCAAATAATTAACTTGTTTACCTCATTTTATTTTATTTGTCTCCCCTTTCCCAGTTCTTTGATATTTTGATACTTTCTGGATGGTAAAATACACCAACTTTTCTTCTTGACACAGACTCTTGTCCCACATTCACTCTGTTTGGCTGTGCACATGACAGAAATAAAAACGAGTGAACATAACACACCACTTCCTAAAACCCGAAAGATTCCCCTCATCCAATCAACAGTATGATTCACTGACTTCACCAGCTTTGATGGGAAATGATTAAGCTTTTGAATATACTGCAAGTTAAAATAGTATACATTACTTGGAATTTTGGGGGAAATAGTACAAGAAGGAATTAGACTTTTGCTCTTACAAATTATTTTAAATGAATTTTTTATTAGTCCAAAATTAACATTTTGTTACATTCAGAATTAATTCAGTGTCATTTACTCTGCACTTCCTTTTGCTGAAAAGTTTTTTTTGCACTGCTGTATTTTTGAATGAATAGTTGCTTGTCACAACAAGAATTGAAAAGTTGCAGCCATTTGTATTTGTTATTGATTTCTTAAAAAAACCTTCTAGCACAAGCTGCTGCATAGACAGACATTTGACCAATGAAGAAATGGTTAATGCTTAGGGTTTAATAATTTCTGCTGGTTTGTTTTATTCTCAGACCAATGGGCGTTACGAATGGATTGATAACTGGAGAATGAAGTATACTAAATGGGCTGAAGGGGAGCCAAAGCAGAAGATAGGCTGTGTCTATCTAGACATTGCTGGAGCCTGGAAGACGGGATCCTGCAATGAAAGTTACTTCTCTGTTTGCAAAAAAGCTGATGGTAAGAACTTGAATTTAACCACTGTAATTACAATGATTACCTCAATAGAGTTCATTGTGCTGTGTTACATATCTTCTGATATAAACTTAGATGTTGGGTTTTAGTTCAAGGCTAAATAAATAAAATCATTAACATTTACTTGGGTTGAATGGGGCTGTTTTAAAATGAGGGCAAACACATCCTAAGAAAGATAGATGTATTTTGCAAAGCTTCGACTCACATTACTCTGCTATTTATTCTGATACTAACTAAGCATGCAAGACCAAAACCCTCAAAAATCAAAAGGCAATGAATATTAGGTAGTAGTCACACAGGAATGGTGTTGAAGGGAGAAGAGCTGGTTGACCAAGCCATAAGTTGACACAAGGAATATTTACCTATAACAGCTTTCCAGATTTTATAACTGAAGACAAACTACAGGTGGTATAGAAATGTTTAAGGACACTTCTTCAGGCCACCTTCTCTTATATTTTTGACCTGAAACTCCTGTTAATATCATCTGATAATGCCTGTTGTATTCCATGATATTAGGTCATGGCCCATATGGGCGAGTTCATATGGGCCCTAATTCAGCACAGCAGTCAGGTATGAAAACATATTTGTGAGTAAAGAGTTGAGCTGAGTTTAAGCATCTGTTAAAAGATCGATGTATACTGGAATTCCTGGAATTCTTAGCTAAATGAGATTTCTTAAAACTACAGTTGCAGTACTTTTTGTTTATAGATTTAGGATTTTTCCATTGTTGTCTTGTAGTAAGCAGTACAGACTACCAAGATTGCTTTTTTTTTTTAAAGACTTGAGTGAGTTCTCCAACATTCAGTTAGAATAATCTGTTAATGATAGAAGAATGCATAAGAAGCTGTTTCTTTAATTTTCATGCTTTCTTAAAAAAACCCCAAAACAACACATTTTTTAAACAGTTCAAGCTCCCACTGAGCCCCCTCAGCTTCCAGGAAAGTGCCCTGAGTCAGAAGGACACAAGTCTTGGATCCCTTTCCGAGGTCATTGTTACTACATTGAATCTTCATCTACAAGAAACTGGGCCCAGGCTTCTTTAGAATGCCTTCGACTTGGTAAGTATTCTCCTTAACCAAAGAGCACATCTTTCTGAATTGTTTTTCCTCTCTATGAAAAGCTGAACTTGTGCTATGTATTTTTGTGATTTCAAGGATGGTCCAAGTGTTGGATAGGATAGCTGCATCCAGTTACTGCCTTAATTTGGGAGGAGATAGAAAATAGCTGTCTACCTATTGACGCACACTCTCATGTGTGTGGGACCAGGCGTTAGAGGAGCTCTGTTGCCTGGAGTGGAGGACACAAAAGTGGAAACTGGCCTTTGATGGGACAGGAGGTAGTGAGCTTCATCCACAGCAGGCACTAAATCTTATTTTAATGGCATTTTACATTTATTCTTGATCTAATTTGCCCCTTCACTATTGCAGTTTTATACTACTGGAATAAAAGTTACAGCTCTCTAGGCAGAATATATTAGAAAACTAGGGTTGTGATGTTTTCTTCTCGCAACTTCCTTCTCTGGGAAAGTGGTGTAAGATATGTTATACTAGACTTCGTATGTTGTTAGTGTCTACAGCACTGGTGGCAATGTGACTTAGATGTCTAACCTGACATCAGAGTATGCAGAGATCTTGTTCATGCTGCCAGTGACAAGGCTGAGAATGTGTTCTCTGTAGGCACACACATGTACAACGCTTCTATACATATATTCACAGCAAGCCACAGATCAGCACAGACAGAAACAGAGCACTCACATGAACACAACCTGCACTAACACCCTTATTGTGTTCCCCTCTCTGATTGATCAGGATGAAAGTCTGTTATTGGGAATAGATTCACAAATACAGTGTGGATCCCTCCAGCAACTGGACTCAGACACTCAGTTTACCTTGTGGCTGGCACATGGATCTCAGTGTTCTCAGTTACTGGGATCTGGAAATATGAGCTCCCATGGTCACCAGCCTGGCTCCTGTTGCTAGTACACACCTGTCCCCACCACACATATGCATACTGGTCCCTCCAGTAGCTAATCCGCCAAGGTCTCACCTGTACAGACACACAGGGACACAGAGGCGTACAGAGCTAGCTGGAACTCCCCAGGTCTCCCAGTAGCCATCCCCTCCCCAATTGGTCTCACCTTTAGAGATGCACACACACTAGTGGGTCTCATCCTTATTGACCTGCAGCCCTTAAAGTCCCTCCAGCAGTTGGCTGGGACTCCCCTGGTACCTCGGATAGCCAGCTCAGTTTGTGGTCTCACCCTTGGTGATGCACAACACACACTGGCTGACTACGCTGACCTGATACTCCGTAGTGATCACACAGTCACTTGTGTACCTGCACTTGCTCCAGTTGTGGCACCATGGACACAAGGGTCTGTGACTCGTTGTCCCACTCTAGCTGCTGGTACTTAAACCCCCATGCCCACATGTGCACACAGAATGAACAGTTTTCACCTGTGAAAATAGTTAGAAACAGAGTTTAGTAAGAAGATAGGACTGTTTGCCCAGATCAGGTGCAGGTGTTGTGAGACAACTGTACTGACAAGAAAACTGTTCACACATGATCAGTCTTTTTATCCTCTTATCTCTCTATTTTCCTGTCCTTGTTCCTCCCAAATGATCTAGGTCCATCTAGGAAGCCTTTGCTTCCTTCTCTGAACATGTCATTGTAGTCTGTGCAACCTTGAAATGCTCTTCTGCATCCCATCATGTATCCATAACCCTAGGCAGTAACATCCCTCAGTCTGAAAGTACTCTGACATTGTCTTGTCCTGATGGGTTTCATGCCTTGCCACTGTGGCTGAGCATGTCCTGCAACAGCCCTGGGAGGGGCCTGAGCAGGATGTTCTGAGTCTACAATCTGTGTTCTTCCACTTCCACTGTGCCTGTTTGCTCGTCTGGGATTGTGGAGATTGGCCTTTGGTGGGCTGATGGCTCCTGTGATGGGCCTGTGAGTAGCCAGGGAAGGGGTCCCCTATCTGCCATTGTCTCTCTGTGATACCGCATGGATGTGCAGTGAAGCTTTTTATCACACAGCATAACAATAACCAAACATCTGATACTATTCAGCAAAAGCGGAACAACTAGAAAAACATAAAGACTACACTGAAAAAAGAGGAACATTCCGTGTTCTCTTATATTCTGCTGTCCCTGCTTGCACTCTGAGTTTTGTTTGCAGTTGGACATTTTTCAATTATATCTTATCCATAGTAGAATTTTGAACTGTAGTAGAATTTATCGGTAGCTCAGGAGTGATTCAAATGACTTTTATATTTGCATTCTCTGTAACTGTGTCTTCCTTATCTGAGAGACAATACCTTCAAAAATTCCACAGCCAAATGAAAACAGTCAAGTGCCAAACACAGCTGTTGGCTGGATGCCAGCCCCACACAAAAGACAACTGAAGATGCACTTTCTCTGGTGTTTTAATGCCACTCCATACAAAGCCATGCAGCTCATTCTGTCTGCTGGCTCCATGCTGTGACGTCTTGATTTTGCTAGAGCATCATATAGAGTGAATCATGGCAGAATGCCTGGTATTGTGTGTGTATGACTAACAGAGTACTATGCTAACTGGGCAACAGATGACCAAGATGATCTTTTTTTTTCTCTGGTGGCTACAAAGAAAATACAGGAAAATAAACAAGACCTGCTTAAAGAGTTAAACTAAGGACTGTGCTTTGTAAATTTGGAAGTCTGTGCTATACCTGAACTATACAAAGGCTCAGAAAATATGCAATCATTAATGTGCAATGTTACATTGTGCACAGACTGAAGTTATACATACTTTTCACTGAAAACTTTAATTTTTTTTAGTGTGGGTTTTTTTGGTTTCGTTTTTGTTTGTTTTTAATAGTAACACATCAGTAGAAATTTATGCTGGTTTCCATATTGGCCTGTTGTATTTTGCCTAGTGTCAATGTTCAGTTATGTTGCTATTTCCCAGTGGATGAGGAAACAAACAAACTGTTAGTGCATTGTCATGGAAATAATAAGAAATACATCAGCAACAATGCTGAAGTCCTTCATAAGATATTATTCAAAGTTAGTTTTTGTTTTGAACTTCAAACTCAGTTTGGAATTTAGCACAGATAGTCAGTGGCAAAATAAGACTGACAGTTGACAGGACAATGAGAATGCTTTTTGCTAGGAGACTTATGTCTCTAAGAGATTATTTTTTTTCTCTGTCTTCCAGGTGCCTCTTTGGTATCAGTTGAAGACTCAGCCGAAGCCAACTTTCTGGCATACACCATTGAACCACTTGAAGGGAAAACATCAACTTTTTGGACAGGAATGTACAGAAATGTGGATGGTAATTTCTTTACATTTGACATAATTTTGTTTAATGAATAATAATCACAAGCTGTTTGACCTGAGAGTTGAAAATGCCACATAATACTTCCATAACTCATAAAAAGTGAAATCAGGAAAGTTAATATAGTATCATCAGAGGGAAAGCTGGTGAATGGTAATCAAGCAATAAACAGTAATACATAACAGAAGGACCAGGCATGGAAAGTTCATCTTAAAGCAAGAAAACCCTTATTCATAACAAAGTAAGGTGCAGGTGTGCACATAACAGAGGACAGACAAGACTGTGTTCAAAGTTGAAATGAAGTTTGGCTCTTCTCAGATGTGGGAAGGGCACTGGCTTGATGTGCTCGTCATAGAGATACTCGTTTTTGAGCAAGAGAACAGTGTGTCTAATACCACCTCTAGTATTTGGAATGGCCATCCTGGAATGACCAGTGACCCTGGTAACCAATCTTCAGTTACAGCAGGCCCTCAGAACAGCTTTACATTTAAGCTGGAATTGTTTGTGTCTTTGGAATAGTTTATCACAAGTTTTTCTATTTTCTGCCTCACTGTAACAAAGGTAAGAGACAACAGGCAATAGGCTGCTTTAATTAAATCTTAAATTTGCTGGGTTTTTTTTATTAATACAATTAGTATTCAGTAAAAATCTGTCTTTATAATAGACCTAAAAGTTACTCCAGTCTTGTGCTGTTCAGACTAAAGGTCCGATATCAGAGGCAGGACTGCAGAATTGTTCAGGTGACTTGGGGTGCCATTTTCTTGAGTTTTGGAGGGTTTCTTTTACAACTGCCAGCTCAGCCACTACAATAACAAACTAGTTGGGGAGAAGACAGGTATTCAAATACATTACTTGAATCTTAACCAGGAAAAGGGAGTTCTCAGCAGAGGAGGAAAGAATTTGAAGAGAACAATGATTTAGAAGCATAACCCATGAAGAAAAGCTAAGGTTTACTTACATGGTTAATGGACACATAAAATGTGTTTTAAAGTTGTTCTAGAGAAGGTGCAGAGCAATACATTTCTTAGAGTGATCACAAACAAAAGAGTTGCTTCAGCAAGTAGGTGCCGTTATATTATTAGATAATGATTATAGTGATTTCAGCATAACTGCATAACTAAATTCCGTATCTTTGGAAAAGTGGTTATATCCAGATACCATGCCCTGTGGTGCTTTATTTTCTAAACCAAAATGTGAAGAATCTTCTATGAGAACAAAACATGGCTTTCATGCTGAGTCTAAGAATTTGCTTGTTTGAGTACAACTTAAGAGTCACAAGGGGCAAATTTATCTAAATAAATAACACTATTAAAAGAAAGAAAGAAAGAAAAAAAGAAACAGGAAGGAAGAAACAGAAAGTCCCGGCATCGCTGAACAGCAGTGATCATAAGATTCCTGAAGCAAATCTTTCAAAAGGAAAATCGTGTGTGTAAATTTAGTGGAAAGGAGCAGAAACTAAAAAACAAAAGGAATAAAACTGGATTTAGAAAGGCTTGAGTGCAGGCTTTGAAAAGAGTAATACAAACCCTCCCTACAAATTGCTGAAATAAAGAGCTTTCTTGTGAAAATAAATTATGTTTTAACATCAGTAATTTCTATAAACTGAGTAAATAATTGACACTCCACCATTGCAATATATTGTTGGAGGTACTTCTTTAAACTGTCTTGCCTTTGTAACATCATAAGCCAGATTGGCCTGCTATTTTGCAGAAACTGATGTTACATCATTTGAATAAAAATGTAAGGGCAACATGAGGTGTCAGACCAAAAATTCAAATAGTCTAGTGACCTGTCTGCAAGAATGGCCACATGTAGATTTCTCAGGAAGGCAATAAATGTGGAGCAGGTGTCAAGATGGAAATAAATACTATCTTTGTTTTATATATTCAATATTTTTCCAATTAGGGGAATGGCTGTGGCTAGACAACACTGCAGTGAATTTTGTCAACTGGAATACAGGAGAACCTTCCCCTCAACAAAACGAGCACTGTGTTGAAATGTACGCGAACTCTGGGTTCTGGAATAATATCTATTGTTCTTCCTACAAAGGCTACGTTTGTAAAAAGCCAAAAAGTAAGAGCTTCATTTATTAATTTGTTCTATGCATAGAGTATGCTCCTTGTGTGCTAGTATTGGTAGATGGCTGAGGCACACAGTGCATTTTAGCTGTGTGTTTTGAGGTTTTGTAAATGCTGAGGGATGCATGCCAACAAAAAGAATAACTTTTCTAAGAAAATAGAAGTTCTGGCCAGCGTTTAAGCCCCTTCAGAATGGTCTTAAAAGATTGTGTTCCTATCTTAACTGTACCTAGTGCATACACTTACCAAGTTTGCCTGTTCTATATTGATAATTGCTGAGTAATCACAATGTTAGTACTGTGCCTTACACACAAATTTGTCTCATCTATTTAAAAATACATTCCTTGGGGGTATACTCTCTGCTCAACCCTTTGCTTATTTCCCTCTGGTAGTCTCATGTGCCTGCATTTTCTGAGTAAGAAGTAGTGTTTCTGTGAACTGAGTATTTTTGATTTGTAAATTAATGAACAATTTTGAACCTTTTGTCTGTGTTCTCTTTTTTTGAGAAGATGAATGAATGAAAAGCAGAGCATATGCTAAACTGAAAGTGTCCTGAAGTAATAGAGTGTGCAGATTTGACATAAGGACATCTTGTGCATATGAGTTCCTAATAATTTCTTCCAGCATGTATTGCAATATCAAAACCTTTTACTAATATTTACTGAGAAGAGTGAAATGCCTGTAGTAGCTGAAATATGCCCACTTCCTCTACATACCAGTAATGAAATTCTGCTTTCCTTTCTATAAATTTGTTCTCATGCAAAATTATTCTTACTTACTCAGATGCTTGTAATGATGACTGACTATCTTCTATGGGAAATACTGCAGAAATGTCAGATACAAACATTCATATGATTCAGAGTCTAGTTGCCTGTGTTTTTACACTGTGATTGAGAAACAAGAAGGCACTTTATTTTCATTCTCTATCCAGAAAACTTATTCAGTTAATTTAAGGATTAGCTTCAGCCAGTCTAGCCTCCTGAGCTGGAATGCCATGGAGTCAGCCAAATACCAGTGTCAACACAAGGACTAGACAGTTGCTTGCTCAAGAACAGGGCACAATTGAGTCCTATATGGTTGTGAAAATGCAACTTGGCTTGGCACAGTTTTGTAAAGCTGTGATAACGCTTCATTTGCAGAATTGAAAAAAAAAAACACAACAACTAAATAGCTATAGGCTAATAAATGAGCTGTTAAAAGCATGATTTTACTTAGTTGCACTTGCCATAGCTTGTTATGTTTCCTGTTTTCTGAAAAGGCTGCAAATGCAAAACTGTGATTGAAGCCTTCCAATAGAAAAGTTGCTATTTTCTGTTCTATTTATTGAGGTAATTTTTTAAGACAGTAATCTGAAATTCTGTAGCTGGTCTCTTCCGTAAATAATCTAACTTTATTTTGTAAGTAAGGAATTACTCCAAAGAACTGCGTAGCAGTTCAGTAAGTGCTAGTTGACTGTGCTAGAAATAGTGACTTAGGTATATTCTAGGGGGAGAGGAACCTCAATCCATCCCAGTTCTATCAGTTTGATGCCAGTGTCAGCAATAGCTGCCCAGAACCTGGAGAGGGATCTCAGGTTCTTCCAGCAAGCCAGATTTTATGATCCAGATACTAAATTTTAAGTGAGCTACAAACATTTTAGTTTGGATGTGATATGTGCTAAGACACTTCTGAGTCTGTGAGTGATTTCAATTGCCTGTGTAGGAACGCCATGAAAGTCTCTTGGCAAACCAGACTTATTTTACTCACTAGGTTTTTATAAGATTGCAAGTACTGCATTTATAGTTATACTGAGGATTATGTTTGATCATCTGTCCTGAAGATACTGTGTAGATTTTCTTGTGGTTTTATAGTGATGTCCATCTCCATGGAACTCTTTGATGATGATTCTTTTCTGCTAGTGTATATAAAAAACTACATAGGAGACAGAACACAGTAGACTATGGTGCTGTGCCTTTTGGTAGGCCAGATGTAGCTCTGTGTGAACTAAACCTAAGTGTTTTCAGTATGTAGTGGTGTGTATTATGTATTTATCAGAATATGATTTTCAGTATTTTCCAAATAAAGAAATAAAAAATAATAAATAATATAGAAATAAAACCCAGAATAATATAATAACATAATTCTTTTCCAATATTTCAAACTGCCAGCAATTGAAATGCCACCAGCAGCTGAAGTACCACCAGCTGAAATGCCTACAAAGGGTAAGAATATTGTCTTTCAAGTAGCAAAAATCTAATCCTATGTAAGATCATAAACAGAACAAATCGTATTCTGTATTATGTCTCTGACATTTTCTGATATGCCTGTTTCCTAAGAGCATAGGATTTCCTTGGAAAATAAAATATTTTCCATTCAGTGCCCAAACACAGATTTAAAAATAATAATTTGTGATCTACTATGCAGTGTTAACATTAAAAATCAATTAATTTTATGTTGCTACCTTTGTCTCTCATTATTTTGAAACAAATGGAATGCTTTTGCATGAAGAATCATGCTTTCTAAAGAAATTGTTTCCAGTAACCAGATAAAGAGTATATGGTGTCATCTTGATATCTTTGTATTTGTTTTCAGCAATGACGAAGGACAAGAAGGCTCCTGCTTTGAACCACAGTAAAACAGGAATTGTAGTTATTGTTGTCATCCTCATCCTTGTTGGAAGTGGCCTTGCAGGTTATCTCTTCTACAAAAGAAGGAAGAATCGCTTGTCAACAAGTGACAGCTTTGAGAACAATTTGTATTTTAATAGTGATGCAGTTCCTGGAACTAGTGACACAAAGGATCTTGTGACCAACATAGAACGGAATGAACATGCGGCACTGTAATGTAATGAAATTAAATGCAATGTAATATGTAATATAAAATGTAATGTAATAAAATAAAATGTGCCTTGTTTTAATAAAATTATGTGACTAGATTTAAGCCAAAGCCATTTTCTCATGTGCAAATACTATAGTAGCCAGCTGCAGTGTGTGCGTAATGTTATATACAGCAGTTACTTTATTTTGTAACCATTGTATAATGTGTAAGATTTCAGATATCCTGATTTGATGGCCCACACTGGTGAGTGTGGGTATTAGGAAAGAGATAATATTGACTAATTATTAAATGGAACAATAGAAATGGATGCAATAAAGGAAGTAAAATGTAGACAGATCCACTTGAGAAGGCTCCCAAGATGCAAAGTTTCTGCAGCAGATTTATTTCCAACCGTGCTAATATACGTAATCTCCAAACTACCTAGCAAGCATCTCTAATTCTACCATCTTTCAAGCATTCCTAGGGACTCAACTACAGGGGTAGTTACTAGATGACAAGTTTGTGTTTAGGCACATCCTCTTTGAACCACAAAGGGAAAAAATCCTTTTGTGATATAATTTCAGTTCCCACAATTTCACACATCACCGAGAACCAAGTAGGTAGTTTTTGTAGTTTTTGTATTCTAGAATTTAATCGGGTAAAATCTGGGGGCAGGCTACTGGAATGGAAAGTGTGGTTGGCGCTAACTGCCAGTGTTCTGCTGCCCACAAGTCAATTGGTCTGGGAGAGGTGACGAAGGTGATGACAAAACTTCTTTCTTTTCAGGACAGTTACTGAGGAGGGGGAGGAACATTACCTCTATGTGTTTGGAACTTTTACAGGAGCACTGGGCAGCTGTTAGGGTGATCACACGTTGGTACTGTTCTCCTGCAGCCTTTCAATACACAGCATAAGTTTGTGGGGTGTGTGCTGGAAGTCAAGCACAGTTTATCTTTACCAATGTATTAGTTACTGCAGATTTTATTTCCTTTCTAAAATGGCTGGATCAGTTACCAGTTATGGAAATCTTAGACTCCCCAAGGTGGAGTTAATACTCATCTTTGTAAATCTTATAAGATGTAAATCATGCATAACTCCTCACTTGCATACATAGGTTTGTAAGGTTTGTTTTTATGGTTTCAGATTTTGTTCTGTGAAATAAACAGTAACTAGCTTTGATCTTTTAAATATTTTTTTTCATTTTATAGTCTCACCTATATAAGACTGTAACATGATAAAGTTAAAAAGGAGATGTTACAACTGGGGCAATTTTCCATCTGAAATTGTGATTAAATAACATGTTGACCATATTTTCCTGAACCGGTCACAGGATTGTCTGCTTAAAAAATGTCAGCTCAGTGATTTAGCAAAAATCTCAAGTTACATACACGTGTAGGTAAGTTGGGGCAATTTGTGCTGGAACTCCTTTTCCCTGGCTCTGCTCCCTTTCACCCAGTTACTTCCTTACCTCTGTCCCTCCCCCTGTTTCCATTTTTAATGCACTGTTGTTTGAGCCTATGTTTTCAAGGAGTAGTAGCTCTAATGGTTCTTCATGCCACCTGATGTGGCTTATGCGCCAAAACCCACCAAACTGACTGATTAATGTAGGGATTATGTTGTTTCAATTATATGCAGAAGTGGTGCTGGCTAGCAAGATATGTGAAAGGGATGGTGGAAGGTCAGGAGGCCCTGGCTGGAATCCCAGCCTTACTGTGCAAACAACAAAGAGGTGCAGTCTCTATCCAAAGGAAGTTCAGTCCTGTTGCGGGTCCCTGCACAATCTTGAGGCAGTATCTGCCTCAGATACTGTCAGGTACATCTGTACAGCTAAAAAGTGTCGTGGAGAATCCTGCTACTGGAGCCTGGGTAGTCTTGAACTTATTCACCCAATTATACTGCCTGAATCCAGCATCATCCTTGAGCTGAAGAGAATTAAAAATGCTGTGCTAGTTACTAGCTGGCAGTAGGGGTAGCTGCTTTTGTGAAATCCCATGTCTCTTCTGCTCTCCTGTATGAATGGGTATGGAAAAAACAGAGGAGGTACGAAATCAGAAGCTCTGTTCTGCTCTGCTTGGCCTGCTTATCATAGAAAGAATGTGAGTGAATAAAACTTGAAAGATTTTCAGAAGAGGCGGAAAGTTAAGCTGAATGGTTTACTGCCCCTCCCACTGCAATACAATGGAATTGAAGCACATTTCCCATTGAAAAGAGCAAACACGGCACTGGTGGTATTTACAGCACAGGAAATTGTTACGGTTGCATATAGTGAGCTGAAGATGAGCACTGATTGAAGGTAGAGAAACAAGCAAGCTTGAACACTTTAAATAATATCTAATTAATGTAAGATTCAATCAAAGGCTTTTACTTAGGAACTTGTAATTATATAGGATTTCTTGGGTTTTTTTTTGTTTTGTTTTGTCAGTGATGGCAACTCATTTATTAGACTGTCTGAATGCAGAGTCCAGTCCCAGGCTTTTAGTATCATCATTCCTTTGGTCATGTTTGTGACGAAACTGATCACACAATTGCAGGAAAAATTGAGAGAGTACTTTCCAAACTGGTATTCTCTTTCCTTGCCCTCATGTTATTTCCATCTTTCCTGGACTGAGTTCTTTTGTGATGTTTTTACCAAGCATCATTTGGTGATCTGACATTATGTTCTCTTTTCCTGCTGCTAAGCTGCAATGTTTCTGACAAGTGATTGAGTACGTCAAATATGTTTTGAAGATTGGGCTGGGGAAATCATTCCTGTTGCTCTATTTGACTGAAAAAGAACAGTGTGTCTTCTTGGAAATGATTCATATTCATACGTATATAATTTGTTACTTAATGTATTCTGATCCTCCATCAATTCTTTGAGCCATTTTCTACTACTGCTGTTCCTGTAGGGATTGATCAGCTGCCTTAGAACCATCTTCTTGCCCTTGCGGCCTCTTGCTTTGTCTTCTGAGCAGATGCTGCTAGTTATGGGAGGTGTCAGTCTGCATACTGCATAAATATATATTCCCAGAGGAACTGGTATCTTGCTTTTCTGAAATACTCTGGCTGTAAGAACAAGGAAAATGATTTCTTGAGAAATAAGATGAGACATACATGATGGATAGAAAAGCAAAGGAAATTTTTAACTGATCACTAATATTTCATATCCATAATCCTCTGATTCTGCCAAGATTTCTTATGTTTGATCTTAGTAGTTTAGAAGGTAAAGAATTTCTTCCTAATATCTAATCTTAATCTACCCTCTTTCAGTTTAGAGCCATTCCCCCTTGTCCTATCACTACTTGGTCTTATATATTTAATTTCTTTAGGGAAGTATCTGGTTGAACCTGGATGAACTCATCCATCCATTTCTGTGCACAGCTGAGGAATGACTTGATGGCAATATTTGATAATGCATAAAGGTTTATAACTTTGCACATTTGTATGTTTCTGGGTACCCTTGTGTTTAATTTTCATTTCCTCTTTTTTGTAGAAGAGCTCAAGCTTCAGAGGAAAGGTGGTGAATCTGCACACTGTGAGTGTAACTTCCTGCCTGGGAGCAGAGATTGCTGAAGGAACAATGCTGACTCAACACAAAATCCAGCAGTCTTTCTTCCTTGCCACTTCTAAAATGTCAGGCTGTGCCTTGCCAAGTAGAGATGCTGGAGTGCATCTTTGCAATCTTCTGATTTTCTTTCCCACTCTTCAGGCTGTGATGGGGTCTGCTCAGGCAAACATACAAACACTGAGGTGAAGCTGACCTTAGTATGTTTTACTGTTTTTCAGCCTCTCAGCAGATTGTCACTCACAGTCCTTCACCAAACACCGATCTTTCTTCAGAATAGAACTAGTTTCTTTTTCTCTGTTGTAATTGCATGTTGCCTCACAGTAGCTTTGGAAGTGCTGAGATGTTGCATACATCAGAACCAAAAGACATTACATTTCTCCTGCCTAAATAATAACGAAGAATTTTTTTTCCATTTGCACATCTGGAGCTCCTGAACAAGGAAGCAAGGACAGTTGGAAAGTTGAGGCTGCAGAGCTAAGCATTTCCATACTGGGAAGAACCAGAATGCTTTACTTCAGACTCAGTGCAGCCATCTTCACATATGCATCATAATTTACCGAGTAATTGGCCATCTGCTGCTTTATGGAGGCAGCCTTCTCTCTTCTCCCTCTTCCCTCAGGTGTCAGTGTCCTTTTCAGGCTCACATTCTTTCCACGTTTTTGGTCTGGCTGTACCTAATGGCCCTCAAGTCCCACTATTTTTGTTCACTGTTGTAATCTTGTTCTGCTCTAATTCTTTGTTTACCTTTTCAGAGTCATCCACATCTCAGCCAGAATAGAAGCAGGATCCCACACCTTCATGTAAGTGTCCAGGGCTTTCATTGCCTGGAACAGCAGCAGCTCTCAGGGAAAGACCCTATAGATTATTTGCCGCAAATAAAATACTGGGGAAGTTACTCCAAACTAGCCTCTCCTGAAGATACAGGAACAGAAATTTTTCAAAGGCCATAGGCAAAAAGGGATGCAAACCTTCCACAGGAGTGCCTTTTCTCTTCCCTGCCCTCTATGTTTGTATAATTCTTTTACCTGTCATGAAGGAGAGAGCTTTTTTGACGTAACCATCTGAATTTTGTCAGAATGCCTGAAGGATGTGCACTTTAAGGGTGCAAACTTTCACAGACTAGTGGGGTGAAAAAGGTGGTAATGTTCCATATTAGTTTAGTTTTCCTCTCTAGTACTGGTTGAAAATCCACTATTTTCCGGTTACGGGTTCTCTTCTTCCTAGAATTGTGTGGTTTCTTTTTGGAATTTCTTCAATTGTTGCTGTCAGTTTGGGTACACTGCTCCTGCATATAGTCAGGAATGGAGCAAAAGAAAGGACAGGTGTCTCCTGAAGAACACAGATCCTATTTTCTACAGTTTTTCTCCTTTCTATGGAACTGCAGACATGGGAAATTCTGGTTTTCTCTGATTCCATGCCACAGGTACTTGATTTGCATGGTCTCCCAGCCATTTTTCCACAGTACTGCATTGCACTGTGGCTTTTTTAATCATTTGTTGGTACAGACAAATTTTCCTCTTCTTTTTTACCTTTTTCCTTTATTTCTGGTGAAGAGACATTCAT